TTTGCTAGTAAGAATAGGTAGGTGTATCAGTTAGCTATTGCTACACAACCTACAACTCAATGGCTAAAATAACAACATACCGGGTGAGGCAAAAGTAGGTTTACAGTTGTTCATATGGAAAACAGTACAATGATTAATAAATAATAATACAATAATAAACTCTATTTTCCATACTCACAATGGTAAAACTGCTTTGCCTCACCCTGTCTAGTGCTAATGTGTCTGTAGTTAAGCAGATAGTTGACTAATATAGACTGGATTCAGCTGGGTGTCTCTGCATCAGGCTACATGTCCATCTGGATTTGTCTCTCTGTGGTATTGCCAGAGGAACTAGGATCATTCCATGGTATCACAGAACATGCATTTGAGGAATGCACACATAGGAGGATTTGAGGTCTAGCAGCAAGGTTTACTTGAGGGGAAAAAAGAACTGCCCCCAGGTACGCCATGCCCGATGCCTCACCCCTGACCAGGTGACTCAGCTCCATCTCACTGCAGAAGTGCAGCCTCTGGGGCCACAGCCACACACTTGTCCCCACCAGGCCTAGGAGGAGGTCAGGACCCAGAGCTGCAGTACATGAGCCCAGCACAACTTCTGTTCCCCTCTGGCTCGCAATTGGTGCTGCATTGGTCTGTCTCTCTCTCTCTCTCTCTCTCTCTCTCTCTCTCTCTCTCTCTCTCTCTCTCTCTCTCTTTCTCTCACTTTAGAAACATTATTATAGTTTAGCTTCTTGGTCTTGGTTTGGATAGTGACAGGATTTTGACAAGTCACTTCATATCCTGGCAATTAGTTTCTTTAAAAATGCCTTCCAACTACAAGTGCCTGTGAGTTTAGAGCTGGTCCATTGGCAACATTTATGAGCTACCAGGATCATCAATAAATTATTCTGGGAACAAAGATAGCTTATGATCAAACCCCCAAATGACAGAAGGCATCTTCAGAATCAAGTCAAATGCCCTCATTTTAGAGATAAGGAAACTGAAGCTAAGAGTGATTGATTACTCAACTTGCCCCTAATTACAGATAGTAATAGAGCTTAAGGGAAAAGGCATATATTCCTATAGGAAATGTAATATTGCTTTTAAGTTATTAAATTGTGTGTGTGTGTAAGTAAACTCTCACACCTATACATAGAAGATATATATTAAGTTGAACCATATGAAACTGCTATTTTTGTAGCATCAACAATTGTCATATGTCAAGTACATATGTTTCAACATAGTTGAGAAATTATCAGTACTGTTTGTAAAATCAAAAGCAGTGCAAATTACCCAGATGTTCATCAACAATAAAACAAAAATTAATTGTGAGATAGTCATACAGTGGGACCCATAGAACAGTGGGGAAATGTCAGACCCACATGCATCTACATCAATCTCAAAAACAAGCAAGTCACCAGAGAATACATACAGAATGATTATATTGTGCAAAAACAGGCAAAACTAAATTTATTATTTGAAAATATAATCTCACAGGGAAAACTTTTTAAGCAAAGAAGAATCAGGATGGTTGTTACGTCTAAGGGGTGCTGTTTTATTTCTTAAATTGGGTGGTTGATTCATTAGTGTCTATTGAATTGTTTTTCTTTATAACGACATATTTTCTAAATATTAATTACTTTAGAGATAAATATTTATCTCCGGTTTGGCTCAGTGGATAGAGCATTGGCCTTCAGACTTAAAGGTCCCAGGCTCTATTCCAGTCAAGGGCATGTACCTTGGTTGCGGGCACATCTCAGTGGGGGGTGTGCAAGAGGCGGCTGATTAATGATTCTCTCTCATGGATTTTTTAATTCTCTATCCCTCTCTCTTCATCTCTGTAAAAAAACAAAAAAATATATATATTTAAAAATAAATAAATATTAATTACAAAATATTTAGAAAACCAAGTAATAACACCACCAAAGTGTTGCTCCTTGCCGGCAGGAGTATAAGTCGGTACAGTCACTTTGGAGGGCTATTGACAATGTCTATTAAAATGAAAAATAATGAATGTAATAGACTTTCTCTTTCTGCATCAAATAAAATTTGGATTAAATTCTCCCTATAATTACTTTGCTCACACACATCTTAAAAAGCCAACTCTGATATGGAGATTTTTCTGATTCCTCTGGGGGAACACTCCAAAGTTCCTGCCCACACATCCTGTTTCACCCTTCTCTCCCCTGCTGCTCTCCACTCCACACCCACCAACTCACCATCCACTCCCTTCCTCCCGCCTTCAGTCACATCTGCTGCAGTCTCTCTCCTTAACATACACCCAAAACATAAAATAAGTGAAGTTCTAAGGTCAGTCACTAAACAAGATTTTTATTATTTGGCCTGCCATAAAACATGCAGCATTAACGCCTGCCACTTACAATGAGAACTTACAAAATGCAACCAAGATTATTTGCTCTCCCTTATCACCCTCTGCCCCCACACCCCCTAAAATGTCGAAACATTTTGCTGTGTCAACAGCTTAAAAAGAATATTGTTTCCCTGGAATGAGATCCACCCACACTGTTTTCAGAGATGAAGTTTTGGAATGGTTATGTTTCTACACAGTAATGTAGCCATGGAATCTACTAGAAAGTCAATTACATGTTTTCTCATGAATTAAACCAATTGAAATTTTTACTATTAAAAACTACTTTTCATTCTTGGGGTTTAAAGGAAATGAACAGTGCCCAGAACAGTTTTAGTTTGTCTGAAAATTTACTGCAGTTCTTAGTAAGACAACCTGACTGAAAATTTGTCAATGAAGTAGAATATCTTTGAAATTATACAATTTTTATCAGAATATAAGTTTGGTCTCAGAATCTATACTCTATCTCTGAATCAAAGTTGATTCATCTTCAAGTTGCAGAAATAAATGAAATAATAATCATGGAAAGCTTAAATTCACATTTTTTTTTTTTTACCTTTTTATAGACCTAGATTCTTTGTTGCTTCATAACTTTATATGTGATAAAATTCAGATTTCTTTATAATATTTGACAGGGAAACATCCATCCAATTATTAAAGTTTTGTTGGTAAGACATCATTTGATCAAACTGATTTTGGTTTTGTTTTTATTTTTAATTTGTTATGCATTCTTAAGATTTGTGAGACATAAAACTGATTTTTTTTTATTCAATTCTAAAATTGTTACGTGATTAATTTTTTGTTGCCCTTTTTTATTTAGGGTCATTCAAAATGAGGAAATATGACTTTATAATGAAAAAAAAGTTGAGGAGATAGTTAAAAAAAATCTAAAATCTAATCACCTGTTGACAGCTTTTCAAGTGGAGTACAGATTACAAAAAGTTTGCAATATAGTGTAAAATGTTTTCATTTATTGTTTTGGTGTTTAGCCTTAAAATTCCAAGGTACTTATATAATGAAATGTGGAAGCCAAACGGAAACATGTAGTTTTTTCTGGGCAGCATGCAAAGGTGACTTCTTTCCTGGGTTCTTGTACTGGTAGATTCGAAGAATGAAACCACGGACAAAAGGTGATATATGAAAAGCTGGAAATTTATTGGGAACAAGTACAGACTCCCATGTGGAGAGGGGGTCCCCATAGGGGTAGTCCACTATTTCCTAAGGCTTATAAAGGCTGCAGTTCTTTGTCTGTTGATGCTCCCTTCTTATTGGTCACTATAGCAGCTACCAAGCTCAAACTCTGCGTGGGGATCCTCTTTTTCTGTCCCCCCTTCAGTGGAGGAAATCTCTACACCTTGTGAAAATCTGTTTTCCTCTTTCTCTCTTTGTTTCTCCACTCCCTATGTCTTTGCCCTTATTTTCTGCGAATGGGTGTCTTCCTCTCCCCGTATTCTGTTCTTTGTGAATTTATGCCTTTTGCCAGCTTCAAGTTACCTACCATTTGTGCCTCCCTTCCCCCTGAGCCCCCTAATTTCTAAGACTCCCTAAACCTGACTATTGTACCCCTAAAAACTTCTTTCAATAATAATGGGTTGTGTTCAGTAACTTTACATGGTTCAAATATATATATATATATATGACCATTAAGGCAGAATGGACAGAACGACTGGTTGCTATGATGTGCCCTGAGCAGGCAGGCCGCAGGTGAGCAGTTAGAGGCAGGCAGGCAGGCAGGCGAGCTGTTAGGATGAGCAGTCCTGGATTGCGAGAGAGATGTCTGACTACCAATTTAGGTCTGATCCCTGTGGATCGGGCCTAAATCAGCAGTCAGACATCCCTGAGGGGTCCTGGATTGCAAGAGGCACAGGCCAGGCTGAGGGACACATTCTCTGCCTCCTTCCTTCTCCTCCCCTCTCCCCTCCCCCCCGACCCCCGGCACTAATTTTTTGCAGCAGGCCTCTAGTTCTAAAGTAAAGCCTAAAGATGGTGGAATCATTTTTCTCTTAGATTCTTTTTTATTTAGGGGAAGGTGAGTTAGTGGGCCTGAAAAATCATTCCCTTCAGAAAATGTGGTAAAGAAAATGGAACCCATTTTTTAAACACATTTTTTGAAGTGCACAATTCATACCCCACCGAATGCGTTAAATTCTTGTAAGGTGGTGAATTCCGGACCAATGGGTTGCTGTTCGCTTTCCCTACATTCAGGTGTCACAGACACTGCTTTCCAGGAGACAGACTGACACACTGAGAAGGAGAGAAGTGTGTGTGTGTGTGTGTGTGTGTGTGTGTGTGTGTGTGTATTGGGGAGAGAACTGTGATGAATTTCTGGAGCAGGTTACTGCTTTTCTAGAACAAAGAACCAATCTTTGCCAAAAGTTTCCAGTTTATAAGAGGAATCCAGACCCTGATGCCCAATCTCTCCTATTTAAAGGATAAAAGCTAAACAAATTTATATATTTTTTTAAGAACCGGTGTCCGTCAAATCAAGCAGGTGCGTGGGCCTGAGGACCACCTTCTGGGCACTTCCCTTCCTGCAACAGAAAACGGAGTTTCAGTGCTAAACACTCGAGTTTCTCTTTCTTGCAGAAGCGGAGTGAACACGAATGCACCTCCCTTTCGTTTGCTGACATTTTCTTCTTTCCTTTTGTTCCAGGCTACATGCTGTCTTTGGTCTGTCCAAACTCCTCCCAGGCTTGGTGTGAGATCACCAACGTGTCACAGCTGCTGGCTTCGCCTGTCCTCTACAGGGACCCGAACGCCAGCCTAACCAACTTGAGCATTTCCGCAAACGTAGAAAACAAATACAGCCTTTATGTGGGCCTGGGCCTGGCAGTAAGTTCCAGTATTTTTATTGGCTCCAGCTTCATACTGAAAAAGAAGGGCCTTTTGCAACTGGCCAACAAGGGCGTCACTAGAGCTGGTAAGAAATGGGTGCAGCTAACGCATTCAAGTTGCTAACTGCAGAAATAATCCTACTGTGGCATCATCCTACTACTGTCTGTTCATTGTAGCTTCTATCTCCATTGGTTGCATTTCTTTCCTCAGCCGTTTCCAGGATTGAACCAGCTGTGCCTCCTTTAGGGAAAGTCTGAAATTCTTGTTTCCAGAGGTTTGGAGTGTACTGCGGATTGTTCTTTCCATAGCTTTATTCTGCAGTTTCAGGAGACAAAGTCAGATCCTGTGCTCGGGATACAATCTAACATCTTCCCACAGACTCGGACCGCCTGCATGAATTAGCTCTCGCTACCTCCCCAGATTCATCTTCGGCTACGCTCCCAGACACCTACTTTTCTCTGGTTCCTGGAATGTACCAAGTTCTTTCCCACCTCAGCCTGGAACTCTTATCCCCCTGCCCTTCATTTGGCTGACTCCTCCTTGAGATCTCAGCTTAAATACCTTCACCCCAAAGGGGCTTTCCTTGACCATTCTCACTAGGCAGGTCTCCCACACCAGCCTGCTCTGTCCTTGCACCGATGGTTTCCTTCATTGTACCTAGAATAGCTTGTTCTTGTACATTTATTGTTTATGTACTTGTTGTCAATGGGTTTACTTCTTTATTAATAGTAGATTCATGCTGAAACCAGTTTGGCTCAGTGGATAGAGCGTTGGCCTGCGGACTGAAAGGTCCCAGGTTCGATTCCTGTCAAGGGCATGTACATTGGTTGCGGGCACATCCCCAGTAGGGGGTATGCAAGAGGCAGCTGATTGATGTTTCTAACTTTCGATCCCTCTCTTTTCCTCTCTGTAAAAACTCAATAAAATATATATTTTTTAAAATAGTAGATTCACAAGAACAGGAGCCTTCCCTAGCATAGTGTTTGCCACCCAATAAACATTGGTTAAATCAAATGGATAGTCATAGGATTAGGTTGCTAATAATACTGACATTTCACATGCTAAGTAGTTCTGCTTGGCTATCCTTCATAAACCATGAATTTCCTATTCATTCTTATCAAGAATAACATTGTAACAGAGCTAAATATTATTCTAAAGTTCACATGTAAAAATAAATAATTGTAAATTGTGCAAACAGATTTATGAAAGCATACTATTGAGGGGAGATTTATACCACCAGAAAATAGAATATGTGATGGTGCTATCTTAATTTAAAAAGACAAAACAATAAAAGATAATTAATAATGTATAAGGGGACCCAAGTACATACAACAATTTAATGTATGATTTTTTTTTAAGTGGCATTTTGAGCCACTGGAAAAAGGATGTATTATTCAATAAAAAGTATTGAGACAATTGACAAAAATTAGAGGAGGAAAATATAAAAGTTCTACTCTATACCATTCATCAAAATAAATAATACATAGTTTAGAGTTAAATTAAAAACATAAAAACATAAAAGAAGGCCTTTCTAAGCATAGAGATAAAGGAAGGAACTATTCTATAAAGCAGTGTTTCCCAAACTTTTGACATATGTGTACCCCTTCTATAATTTTCATAACGCTGAGTACCCCTCGTACTCATGAGAACGTAGAATTAGGCGCAGCTAAGCACAGTGCAGTGCCTATCCCCACCGAACTCCGGTGCAACGCGTACCCCCACCAAACTCTTCCCGTACCCCTGGGGGTACGTGTACCACACTTTGGGAAACACTGCAAAGAAAGAGATGACCTATATTGAAAAAAAAAAATCTATATGGCAACACCTTTAACTGAACACCTGAACTAGAAAGAAAATGACTTGGGTAAAATATTGCAAAATATAATAGAAAGTGTTAGAGAATCTTTGGAAATGGCCACATAATTAGGCTAAAAGACTAAGTATACTGACATGGCCCTAATCTTCCAGTACCTAGAAGTCAATTCTCCAAACCTTCTTTCACGTTAGAACTTAATTTTGCCCAGCCAGTGTGGCTCAGTGGTTGAGCGTTAACTTATGAACCAGGAGGTCATGGTTTGATTCCTAGTCAGGGCACATACAGGCTCTATCCTCAAAAAAGGTTGTGCTGTACAATGATTCTCTCTCATCACTGATGTTTCTCTCTCTCCCTCTCCCTTTCTGAAATCAATAAAAATATTTTTTTAAATAACTTATTTTTCGTTTTTATTATTTTCCTAGGTCAAGGTGGACACTCTTACCTCAAGGAATGGCTCTGGTGGGCAGGATTACTCTCAAGTAAGTCCTTAATGCTGAAATAATGTTTGCTTGCAAAATGACAAATAGATTACATGGAATTATTTAAAATTGATTGATTTAGGCCGAGACCGGTTTGGCTCAATGGATAGAGCATCAGCTTGGGGACTGAAGGGTCCCGGGTTTGATTCCGGTCAAGGGCATGTACCTTGGCTGCAGGCATGTCCCCAGTGGGGGGTATGCAAGAGGCAGCTGATTGATGACTCTCTTATCGATGTTTCTAACTCTCTATCTCTCTCCCTTCCTCTCTGTATAAAATCAATAAAATATATTTAATAAATACAATAAATAAATAAAATAAAATAAAATTGATTGATTTAACTGCCTGGTAAGGATGGCATTTAGTCTAGCAACTTTTGCAAATATAACATATTGCCTTATCTATAAAATAAGTCATATTTATTTAGAGTTTATTTTTACTCTTCTTCCCCACTCCCTTGTTCTCAATACTGTCTTGGAATGCAAAGGGAAAAGTTAACATTTAAGGTATTATATTTTATCATGGACTTCTCTTTCTCTTATTCTGTTCTCCATAATAATTGAAGAGAATGCTTTCCCTCCACATTTTCCCAGTTCCGAATTAAAATTTGGGACTATTCTAGCTGCATGTTTTCTAAGGAATGGGTACATTTTCCTGGCCAGGATCAAAACATAGATAAATTCAAGTCTCCTCTGGCTGCTTAGCAACTAAACAAATAGAACAGTGATTTTCACCCGGTGTGCCACAAGAATTTTTAAAACAGCCAGTACCTGACCATTTAGTCAGGGGTGCTGACCTCCTTTCCCTTACTAAGGCTTAGGGTGTCAAAGAAATAAATAAAAAAAATGACAACAATCTACACAACAATAGCCATTTGGTGTGAATGAATCAAAATTATACCTATTTTCTCTGTCAGACGGGCAAAAAATAGATGTGTCTGGGTGTACTGAAGAATTTTAGCAATTAGTTTATGTGTGCCAGGAGATGAAAAAGGTTAAAAATCACTAAGAGAGAGAGAGATGGCGGTTGTCGGCACTCCTCTTCCTCCTAAATGTGCTGAAAATTAAACGGGACTCTGTAGCATCTGAAAGCTCTTTCTAAACGCCAAAGTGATGTCCAAATAGAAGGCATTTACCTCCCTCAGGCCCCTCTGCAGATTTCAACCTTCCTCCTCATGCCTCTGAACTTTCTTAAACCCCAAACCTAAGACTTCCAAAGAAAGGGCCTCATACGTTGTAGTTTCACACCAGTTGCTAGTCATCTGCATCTGTAGCCAGGAACCTTAAAACTTCCATTTATTTTCCTGTACTATTGCTATATCTGTGAGATCCTGTTATAGGAAAGAATTAGAATACTTTAAACAAACGGCAGAATCTAAAAAGATGATGAATGAAAATAAATTCGCACAGCCCTTTATCTTCTTGAAAAGTCATCTATTGTATAAAGATAAAAATATAAAGTATTCAAGAAAGCTTAAGATTCTGCCAAAACTGGTTTGGCTCAGTGGATAGAGTGTCAGCCTGTGGACTGAAAGGTCCCAGGTTCGATTCCGGTCAAGGGCATGTACCTTGGTTGCGGGCACATCCCCAGTAGGAGGTGTGCAGGAAGCAGCTGATCGATATTTCTCTCTCATCGATGTTTCTAACTCTCTATCCCTCTCCATTCCTTTCTATAAAAAATCAATAATAAAAAAAATATTTTCTAAGAAAATTGCCATTACTCTTCTTATGAGAGGAGTCTCCTAATTATTTCTATTTGTCTTATGATGTTTTCCTAAAGCTAAGTACTCCTGTACATTTGGCTGGGGGCACGGGGCTGGAGCCTAGCAGCCAGAGGAGAAAAGAAAAAGTATGCTGGTGTCTTTCATCTGTTCCAGAACTTTCTCTACAATAAGTTTATTTTTGCGTAGTTGGCCAGCGTGAAATACTACATTCCGTGGGCAAGTGTTCAGTGTTCAGCTGGGACCCATGAGAATAATTTGGCCCCAAATAGAGGATCCAGCTCTTAAAGGGGTTTTCTCTCACTCTAGAAGCCATTTGCATCACAGTAGCTCACGGGAGTTTAGAGTTCCTCGGCTAAGAAAGGGGTTGCTGGAGCACATTATTATGACTTTAAAACGGGTGCTTGGATCTCCCTGAGCTACTAAGATAGTGTTACATTCTTTAGGTCATCTGCAATGACCTAAAAAGAAGCCTGGCTACCTGGGCCTGTGGTGGGCATGTCTGGCTGTCCCCTGCCTAGGCAGTAGATCTCCACTGGGCATTCCAATTTTAGGAGTTGCTTTATTGTTAATTTGCATACCAGTAAGTATTCTTGAGCAAACAGAATAATTCTCTGCTTACTCCAAAGCCACCTCTACTAGATTTCATCAGAGACCATGTACGTTTCTGGTACTGAAGTAACTAAAATCTTTATTGAAAGTCATTTAAAACGTGTATCCATCACCCCCTTTTGTGTTTGTTGAGCTTTTATGACCAGGTAATTATGGCTTAACTGCATCCCTATGACCAATCTTCCCCCTCCCTCCCTAAAAAGAGTTCATTCTTCTTTTTTGTTCAACTTATGAGTGTCTGTGGGATCATAGTCCACGGCTTTGCATCTGTCATTTGTTTTTCTCTCCTGACAAAAAGTCCGTCTTTTATATTAACACTGCTGCTTGCTTTCCAGTGGGAGCAGGAGAAGCTGCAAACTTTGCGGCTTACGCTTTTGCACCTGCCACGTTGGTCACGCCACTGGGCGCGCTGAGCGTTCTCATCAGGTACGTGAGCCATGAAGAGTGTGGCTTCTATAGGGATTTGAAAACCATGATAAGCTTAACCCACAAGAAATATATTGCTAAGCACATCGCAAAACAAAATCTAGAAATCACAGAATTTGAGAAGACTACACAATAAAGTGTAGGAGAAATAGGGAATAGTCTGCCTTATTGTTTTTTAGAAAACCTATGAGAGTGAGCTTGGTTTGCTGCTAACAAAGTAATTGTGTGTTATGCTTGTGACGATTCAACGAAGCAGTTTGTCTGTCTCCCTCTCTCTCTCTCTCTCTCTCTCTCTCTCTCTCTCTCTCTCTCTCTCTCTCTCTTTCTCTCTCTCTCTCTCACCTGAACAAATTGCCACAGCCCTTTTAATCCTCTCTGTTGTCATAGCGGTTAATGACCATTGCTATTAGAGGACTTTTAAGAAGCCTAGTGTTTGGGTTAAATTTCAACTCTTGCTGAAAGTCTTGCATCTACGACTTGATACTTCTGTTTGGAGGTCTCTGTTTCTCTTAGTGCTGGGAACAGGAAAAATTTCCCGTTCATAGGATGGGGATCTAATCCTTCTGGGTTAGTCTTTCTTATGATCCCAAATGGATGTGTCCCATGAGCCCAGGAACTCTTTATTTTGTAGCTAAGCAACTATTTTGTTTGTTTTCTTTTTCTTTTCCTTTTATCTCCATTCATTATCAACCTCTGGTAGAAAGGTTTAGACTAGGCCTACTCACTTCTTCCCACCTTCTTTGTGGGACTGTTTTGAGAACTCAGTGAGTCAGTGCCCATAAAGCCCTAGAACCCTGTCTATACAATGAAGGACAGCTATGTTTTTGCTGAGGGTGAAGACCTCACAAGTGACTACAGCAAGGCGACTCTTAGGAAACACCTGATAACTGACCAGTCTTGAGTGCAAATGGGTACTGGGTAATATCCTGATGGGAATGCCAGGGTATCAGGAAGGAGGCTGGTGTGCAGGAGCCACAGCATACCGACTGGTGAGGCAGCAGGATGGCACGGTCTGGTGTCCATGGTGTCGCTAACCTGGAATTGCCTGAAACCATGGCAACCAAAGTAGTGGGAGCATTTGGTAGGTGAAAGTATCAGGGCAGGAGCAGCTGGTAAGAAGATATTTCAATATTTTGACAACCTATATGATTGTACTTATGTGTTCTAGCTAAATATCAGTCCTGAGCAGAGTCAATCTTTAAGCATAGTTCTTTCTTTGAAGTTTTCATGAACATGTGTCTTCTAAGTGTACCATGCCAATAAGATGGAGAAGGTGGAAAAGTTGAAAAATGAATTGAGTGGGCCCTCTTTAGAGGTCATGGAAAGTTTAGAGGGGTATAGAATGTCTTTTAATTCTTTAGATATAAAAGCAATTAAGCAGATAGGATCGACCATCGTTTCTGTGTTTTAAAACTAATCCGGGTTTTCCGTGTCACATAGCACATTCAGATCAGTTGATTGGGATACAGTGGCTTGTGCCACAGGGTGACTTCTGAACTGCTATGGAATCAAAAGATAACTGAATAAGAGTGATTTCTTTTTCTTCTCCCAACAGTGCAATATTATCTTCCTATTTTTTAAATGAGCACTTGAACATTCATGGGAAAATAGGCTGCATATTAAGTATATTGGGGTCGACTGTGATGGTGATCCACGCCCCACAGGAAGAGGAAGTTGCTTCATTGCGTGAAATGGAAATGAAATTGAGAGACCCAGGTCTGTGCTTCAACCAAAAGAAACACTCACATTCTGCTCCACTTTCTCTCTTCATCAAATGAATTTGTAATAATATTGCAATAGGCTTCCTCCAATCCAACTCATGCCTTGAGAGACACAGTTAAGTTTCACTGAGTATTACAAGTCTTCTGACAAGGTAACACAACTTACTTTTGTGTTCATGCTTTCCCTCTACACAATGAAATGAAGACATGGTGAAAGGAGAGGCTAAAGACTTATACTCCACCCCAAATTTGGCCACTCCTCTAAAAATAAAAAGTCAATCAGGCAGTATCTTCCATGCCTCACAGTATTTTCTTTGAGATTCCAATGACATGTTTGGGAAAGTCCATTGTAAAATATAAACAGCTATGCAGTCCAGTGTTGTTGGTTTTTTTTTGTTTTTTTTTTTCATTTAATCTCACTTCTCTTTCTAAAACACCTGTGCTCCTAAACTCCTGACTAATAATATTTCACAAAGACATGATATTCTGAGCATTTTCTGAAGTCTGATTCTTTTCTCTTCCTAACAGGATTCATTTCCTTTGCTGTGATCGTTATCCTGATCGCCTTGGTGCTGATTTTGATCGTGGCTCCCAAGAAAGGACAGACCAACATCTTAGTCTACATTTCCATCTGCTCGTTGATCGGAGCATTTTCAGTGTCTTCTGTGAAGGGCCTGGGAATTGCCATTAAAGAACTATTGGAATGGAAGCCAGTGTACAAGAATCCCTTGGTCTTTGTTTTGCTGGCTGTGCTTGTGCTTTCAGTGACGACACAGATTAACTATCTCAACAAGGCCCTGGACACCTTTAACACCTCTCTTGTGACTCCCATTTACTATGTGTTCTTTACGTCCATGGTAGTGACGTGCTCCGCCATCTTGTTCCAAGAATGGTATGGCATGACAGCTGGAGATATCATCGGGACCCTGAGTGGGTTCTTCACCATCATCAACGGCATCTTTCTTCTACATGCTTTTAAAAACACGGACATCACCTGGAGTGACCTGACATCCACCACTCAGAAAGAAGCCCCCTCTCTGAATGGCAATGAAGACAACAAGTATGTCTTACTAGAGAATATAGACTCTTTAACCTCGGGATATGAGGAGGACATTACCTTGTTTAGCAGGACTCATGAATGATCAAAGTCTCTACAAAGTCTCTACAAACATTCAGAGACACTGGAAGAGGAGAAGCAATATAGCTGCAGAACTATTAGGAAAGCTGACATTTTAAAGGTTCTACCTAGTAATTTAGATATAAGGCCAAATTTAAAAAAAAAATGCCTTCATTTTTGGCCATCATCTTTGGAGAAAAAAAAATCAAGGTTTTGATCATCTTCTAGAAGACTTCTGTTGTTTTCTCACTTCTGCAAACTTGAAATCTCTTTCTTCTGGTCACAGTATATTTGGCCTGGCCAGGTGGCTCTTCATTTCATTGGCTGCTAGTCTTGGTTTCATAGTAATTAATAGGTAACTGTGTGCTGATAAGCAGAGTACCAGTCATTCTCTGATGAGTCATAGTTTCAAATTATTGAAACTGAGAAGTGAGATCACTGATGCTTTCCCTCCCCTTCCAACTTCATTTAGCTAAACTGGATGGTAGCTGAAGGGTAGAATGTTAAAGAGAATTGGCCTGCTCTGGACATCTGTTCCTGTTGTGTTAGAATGTAAAGAAATATGTGTCCATGAAGAGCTATGGATTATAATTATAATTTATTGACATATCATAGAAGCTTATTACCAAATAAAAAGGGGGAAATGGAGGAGGGAAATATTTTATACCTTAAGTAAAGGAAACACTTTTTTTTCTCTCAAATGTTTAATTCCCAAAGGTTGGGTTTTCCACAAACTATTTGGAAAGAACTAAAAGAATCTTTGTGGAAAACCTGAATGAGTTATAATAATCACCGTCTTGAAATTTAGCACTTTCCAGCTTTTTAAGGAAATTATAGTTAGTTGCAAACCTTTTTGAAAATATACATATCCTACCACAATAAGTGGTAGATTGTCTCTTTCTGTTGAATCTCACCCTGACCATGTTTTCTGTATATTTTATCTGTAAGTGTTTTGGAAGAATAAGAAGGGGGGAGGGGATTACTTTCCTAGAAAATAAAACATTAAGACCTCAGGAATTACTACCAGAACACACGTTTTATGCATTGAAACTTACCTAAAGTGTTCCGGTTTCCAAGTGCATAGTAGAAATAACACTTTTCATGGTCTTTAATGTTTTTTGGTGTTTTGTTTTTTTTTTAAATATATTTTATTGATCTTTTACAGAGTGAAAGGGAGAGGGATAGAGAGCTAGAAACATTGATGAGAGAGAAACATCAACCAGCTGCCTCCTGCACACTCCCTACCAGGGATGTGCCTGCAACCAAAGTACATGCCCTTGACCGGAATCAAACTCAGGACCTTTCCGTCCGCGGGCCAGTGCTCTATCCACTGAGCCAAACTAGTTCTAGCGTTCTTTAATGTTTATGGACAGATTTCTGATCACTCATTGATTTAATAGAAAAGGAGAAATTAGCTGCCTTCTGAACTTACTTCTCTCAAAATAAAACAAAAATCCTAACCAAAAAAAAAACCTGACATTCAAAAAAACAAAAACTCTTCTGGTTAACTGCATTTACATGTTCTAAAATCAAAGGTATGTGATTTTGTTTGTTTGCAATCTAGCTCATGTCTATCCTGGATAATAATAGTCAATTCTGTTATTCAGAATTCTGTTAAACTGACTTTTGCACTTCATCAGCTCTACTGAACTATCACTGATGTCGCAGTGACAACCTGAGGTGCCTGGCGAGTCCTAAGGTACTGTTACCATCTCTTCAGCAGTTTAGTGTGGAGTGCAGCTCCGTGTGTTCTAGGTTTCTGAAAACTGATAATCCATGGAAGATACACGGGTTGATACCTCAGGTCAAATATGTGTTTACTGTATTGACTGCTGTTTCATTGTAATTGTATATCAGATATATAAGCTATGAAATCTATATACAACTTTGTAAGAAAAGGTAGTGTTTGAAAAATGTAGGCATTCTTTAAACATTTTTTTGTATTGAAAACTTTATTGGTTTATCCTTCTTGGTGAGGAAATTAATGGCATCCACACTGAGGCTGTGAATTTCAGTGTCAGATGTTTCTTAAGTGTCAGCTGTTACAAAGCTTTGCCCTTGGTGTATTGTGTTTAGGTTGAAGGAACTTGGAACACAAGAACCATGTGTACCCTGGGCTGGAAAATAAACTGGTGTTGACATATATGCCCTCGAGAAAGACAGAAAAATTGAACGAGTTGAAATACGTTGAGAAATAGTGAAATATTTCAAATACTCTAAAAATCCTTGATGGACATTTTCAATATGCATAGAAAAACTAAAATGTTATTGCAAACTTTAAATTCAGAATAAATTTCTCCAAATAGGGATATATTGTCTGAGGAGGAATAAAATGCTGGACCCTCATTTTCAGACTAACCATGTTAGTCTTAACTGGAAGTTTCATGTATGTATCTATTTAAAATACACACTTTCTTTATCTCATATAGATGGTATCTGAAGGTTTATTATGTGAATATCTGCATTTGTGACATTAAGGATTACAAAATTGTCCTCACACAGCCATATTGAAAGCTTTTCCTAATTCTGTAAACATCATAGTTTCATTTTACTTTTGGTCTTGTAATTTTATTCTTAGGTCAATGGTTAATGATTTTATTTTTAGTTCAGATTGCAAAATATTCATAAAATCGTTTAGCTTTGGTAACATAAAATTAACACCTTTATTTTAAGGGTACTAAATTAAATACATGGAAAGCACCCTACATCATGTCTATTAGATGAGGCAATTAATGAAATTTAATTCTCTTTGAATCAATATCTTACAATTTTATTACTAGACATGTAAGGACCATTCATTGCCAGTTTTCATATATTCTTCATCTTTTCTCAGTGTGTGTTACAGTAGCTCATTTTAAGTAATTCAAATGAAAATGAATTCCATTATTATACTATCTCAACACAAACCAATATAAAAGAATTCCAACAGAAATATATATATATATTTTAATAAAACTGAACTAACTGCAACCTTCACATTCCAACCAAACTTTGTGGAAAGTAATTTATATGAATATATGGAAAATGTTCTCAGATCTGTGGTGATGACGTTTTCTATTTTTCAAATGTTTATAAATACTGTTTATTTTAAAAAGTTTACAAGTTTTAAATTTATATTTCTGTATATTTTTCATTTTCAATAAAATAATGTGGTTTAATTATGCTTGTTGCAGTTCAGTTTTTAGTTTATTAAGGTTAAGTTTATGTAATGGCAAAATTATCCCCATTTAGTTTTTGGTTACAAAAGAAAGTTTCAAGGTTTAAAAAAAAAAATCTGCACTTAGGTTAATTTTGTTTTGGCATTTTCCTTGAAATTCAAGCCTGTTTTTTAGAAATGACTCTCCACAAACGATCTTCCATATAACTGACTTATCATTGGAACAAAAAGTAGGAGATAAATATCTTCCAGTAATTTCATTGAATAAGATAGAAGCTCTAAGCAGTCAGTATAATGAAATCTCTCCGTCCAGAGATTTATAAGAAGGCGAAGAAAGCATTATAAAAATATTTGGTAGTATTGCATTATATCAAAGTTTACATTTACAAACCTTACACAAATGGCCTCTAGCCCCTGTGTAACTAAAACTTCACTTCATGTAGAGACCACATGACCATGACTTGATCAATTCTCCCTGATTTGATTAGAACTAGTGTTTGAGAACAACTTCCTCAGTTGCGTAGGGTAGAAAAGGCTTGGTTCTTACCTGTGTCCCATGCCCCCTTTTTCCTGCCATTTTATAAATAATACTAGAGGCCCAGTACACAACATTCATGCACCAAGGGGGGGCACACACACATACTCCCTGCCAGCCTGGTCACCCCATGCAGACTGTTGTTGGGTCATGTGGTCACCCCTCCCTAACCCCCTGCCGGCCTAGGCGCTGTTCACAGCCTGCTGCTCAGTCATTTGGTTGCCCCTCACCACTTGCCCTACCAGCCTGGTCACCCCACGCAGCCTGTTCGGTCATCCACTTGGTTGCGATGGTCGCTTGGGCTTTTATTGTTGTAGATACAATTCCCTAAATCACATAGTTACCCAAGGCCAGAATGAGAACCAAAATCCAAGTGTCCCAACACCCCAGACTACTCAATCCATGGAACACAGCCCTGTCTAAGAAGGGCTTGGAAATGGCACATCTATCCCAGCAGAGCTAGAACAAACTGATTATCGCAAGCAAGTTGTTTGCATAGACAAATATTTCAGCACTCTGGCTGCAGTGTACAGGAAGCCACAGGTGAACTTAAATTACAAAGAGTCTTAAATTGTATAACAAAGAGCAACATATTCTTCCCAACTGAAAGCTTGGATGGGTTGTCGCCTGCACATGTATGCACGCGCGCGCACACACACACACACAGAGTTTTTTTTAAAGAGTTGACTATCTGAGCTACCTTTTTTCCACTTCAGTTACAAATCATGAAGCCTTTTCTTCTTAAGGGAAAACTGAATCTCTAGAAACACCATTATTGTAGGCGAAAAACTTTGAGTTAGAAGGCATTTTAGTTTTTATTTTTATTTTTTTTAATACTCACCAAGGACATTTTTCCATTGGTTTTTAGAGAGAGGGAAAGACAGAAAGATCCATGTGAGAGAAGCACATCAATTGTTTGCCTCCTGCTCGAGCCCAACCAGGCCCAGACCGAGAAAGAGCTTACAACCAAAGTATGTGCCCTTGACCCAAAATGAACTCAGAACACTGTGGTCCACAGGCCGGTACTCTATTCACTGAGCCAAACAGGCTAGGGCAGTATTTTAGTTTTTATATGTAGACCATCCCTGTGGCTGGTGGGCAGAGGGGGGTAGGAATCTTTGCAGGCCTAGCTCTACTGGTCTCAGGAGCTCGTCCAACCCTCGGGAGACAGATCTCACACCAGTTTTCTGCACTAGTGTGCTCCTAAGACCACGTGGACCTCCTCTCCACCCTATCCTGTATAGCCCAGCCACGACGTGACTGGGGGAGCAGGGAGAAGAAGCAGACGAGCAAGGTTAGTAGTGGAGATAAAGAAGCCATGCTCTGAGTACCATGTTCCTACAATCCCCTCCTACCTTCTATGATCTGCCTTCTATGATCCAGCCAGTAACTCCTGACCACAGCATGCAACCCAAACTTGGCCCAAAAGCTTTGTAAATGCCTTCTATAGGAACTCACTGACCGTGGAAACCAAATACAGAGTCCTGATTGTTTAGTTTCCACTGAGAAAACTAAACAATCAGCTCTCCCCTAGAATAATGATATGTGACTGGGTAATGATATGTGACTCCTCCTCGAGTTAATTGTGCCCAACAAACATCCAGAAAATAAACTCAAAGATATCCTGTAACCTCCGGCCCATTGAACAGATTGCTTCATCAACCAGGAAGGAGCAAAACAGCCCTTCGGCTCAGGTCTCCATCTCTCAGTTAGTGTTTGCCTTTGTTTTGCCACTGTTAACATTTCAGCATATTTCTAAAAGAGTTTTAAGTAAGATATGCTATATAATAAAAGCCTAATATGCCAAGGGTCTGGTCATCCCATCAGCCAATCAAAGTGTAATCTGCTAATGACACACTAAGGCCGCTCAACCACTTGCTTTGATGTTCACTGAACACCAGGGGGCAGATACTGAATGTAGGAGCTGCCCCCTCATGGTCAGTGCACTCCCACCAGGGGAGTGCCGCTCAGCCAGAAGCCAGGCTCATGGTTGGTAAGCACAGCTGCGGTGGTGGGAGAAGCTAAGGATGTCCAACTTAGGGTAGTGGACCTAAGCCATCAGTTGGACATTCCCCATGAGCTCCCAGACTGTGAGAGGGCACAGGCCAGGATGAGGGAGCCCCCTCCCCCCGAGTGCACAAATTTTGTGCACTGGGCTTCTAGTATTTGAATAAAAGGGATCTCTCTTCTCATTGACTCATGGAACTGAGAGGCTGGGTCATAATGTACACGCCTTAGAGGAAACAGACAAAAAATAAGTTCTTATAGATAGAATTGGGTTTTATTTACTGAACCAAATTCCTTCTGAACAATCTTGCATGCACAGAAGAAAAAGAG